TATACATTCTCTTCACTGTGTGTGTAATACAACAAAACGATACAACCCTGTCTGTTTGTTAAATGTCAGTTTTAATGATCAATAATGTTTCACATTTTTAAAATGAAAATAAAAAGAAGCAGGGTTGTGTTTTATATTTCGTGTTATAAATATATGCAGTGAAGATAGTCAATGTGAGTTAAGGTTACCTGAACCACATTTTTGTGGCCATTAATCTGTTCATGATAATGTCCATTTATAAATGAAATGAGGCAGAGTGCTGTTTTATATGTATTTCGTTTTATTGTTGATGAAAAGAAGCAAAGTTGTGTTTTATACCATATAAGAGATAACCGGAGTAGCCGCATGCTGAGTGACGCGATCAAGAACGCGCTATTCCATTGGCAGAATGACCGGACTCGCGTCCTCTCGTCCTCGGGAGTTCGTTCTCGGAAGTTTGCGTTCTTGGTATTGAGAAACGACCAATATTGACCCGCGTTCTGTTTTCTATCATACGACCGCAGCAAACGAGCAGTAGCCTGACATGTACTTCTCAAAATCTAAGACTAATTGAGTGAACATGGAGCAGTTATTCCTTGAGCGGGAATTGAAAAACCGGAGTGGACCATGAACGAAGTGATTACAGAATGCTTAGAGTGGAGAGAGGAACGTGCTTTCGCTCCACTCCAGGCTTTATCATTTTCCCCTCAGCAGGGTGAAAACACATCGTCTTTCCTTAAAAAATAATAAGCTGTATAAAATATATCAACTTACCGTGTGGTTTTGAGAAGCATCGCGCGACGCGGAATCATGAATTATTCTACAAGATTATGATTTGAATTTTTGAGTGACAGACAATTAGAAGGGTGGGGGCACACTGGGGGGCCAATCAGTTTTCAGGAGGGGCCAGTGCCCCCATGGCCCCTCCCCTGGCTACGCCACTGGTTTTTACCTCTTGTAACCTAACCACGGCGTACCAAGTGATCTGAGGACGCGGGAGCTTCGGTCTGCGCAAGCGCCGGAAGTGATCTAAATATGGTTGTGAAAAAAACATAACGTTGTCTGTTGATATGTTGAAATTGTCTTCCATTGCGATTTCATGTTTATCTAAATATGTTTAGATCTTCACAGTGAAAGGTAACACTTCCGAAATAAATCTCGGTGTAAATAATCAGTGACGTAGCCTACACGCGCGAGAGATCACTTCCGGGGCTTGCGCAGACCGAAGCACCCATAGTCATAGCCTAGATATATCCATAGATATGTAAATAAAGGCCTTATATATAAAGCCTTTATATAGATATCCTATCTATGGATATATCTATGGAAGCACCCACGTCCTCCGTTCACTTGGACGTGACTGTGGTTACAAGTGGCAAAAACGATATAAATATTGTTTGTTTTCCCGCAGAAACCGCTCGTTTCGTGTCTTAGGCCATCAATGTGTACTTACATTTACGAGTCATTAAATCATGTTTAATTTGGACTTCTCTGTGCATGCTTTTGAACTGTTGTGGTCGGTATTTTGTAGATTTAAATGATCTTTCCTCAAGCAATTTTTATTTGATAACTGATGAGGTTGTTCATTCTTTTTTTAATTGTATATTGTATATGTTGTATGTATATAATGTAACTAACACAAACACACAGATGCAGCAAGTTAACTTAAAAGTTTTGAATTTGATCTTCAAGAAAGGTCCACTGAAGGATGGTAAAGGATGACAATGTAACAATATTACATTATTTGGTATGCATGAAATATTGCTAAATTTAAATAAAACGTTTTATTTAAATTTAGCAATATTTCATGCACTGACTAGGCTATACATCAACATCCTAGAAACAAAAAAAAACAAGAAAGGACATGTCTATTGATTTTATTTGAGTAGAAATTTATAGAAAAGTCGCATTATTAATATCTCGGTGTTCTTGACAATAAGCTTCAATGGGATATGTTAGTTAGCCGATCATATACTGTAGTAATAACTTTCCTGTAATGACCACAACATAAAGCTTCTGATGTTTTATAGAGCTTTCATCGAAAGTGTTATATTATTTGGTATGGAAATGCTACAGGCACAGAAGAAATCAGTAAGGTGGTAGCAATGGCAAGGAAATTGTTATTGCATAAACGAGCATAGAAAGTGTCAAGTTAAATAAGAAAAATAATATCATGAATGATAAGAGGCATCTTCTCACCTCTGCTTTTAAGCTGATGCCATCAGTAATTTTTACTCCATAGTAAGAGAAACAGATTCAAATGGTCTTTCCTCAAGCAAATCAAATCTTTTTTAATTTTTGATAACTGATCTTTTGGTCATTCTTTAATTGTATATGTTTATTTATGCATTGTGACCTCTGATCTTACTCACACTTTCAAAGTGCCTCTAATGAACCACTGGCAATTTCGAAATAACTGGTTTGTAAATAATTCTATACTTCATTTAGAAATGCTAAATTGATCATTAATATACAATTATTAAACACATTACAGATATGCTTTTAAAACAAGAATAAAGCATTTATAGCTGTATTTATATACTGCTTAATGTAGTAATGCTTCATAATGAATTGACTGTTTACTATGATTGATAGCATGTCGTTATTATGAAGTTACCAAAAGTTCCTTATCTAAGCAGCCTGTTAAACAGCTACAGTCTCAGAGCCTTTCTAGGACAGCAAGCCATTCAAACTATAGAGAAGTGTGAACGCCTATGGAGGACTGCTGATTACAGGTTTAAACACACGCACACACACACACACACACACACACACACACACACACACACACACACACACACACACACACACACACACACACACACACACACACACACACACACACACACACACACACACACACACACACACACACACACACACACACACCTAGGTCCCCACTTGGTCAAAAATGTAACAGATGTAAAAAAAAAAAAATAAAAAAAAAATGTACCACAAATCACCAGAGCGTTTTTTAGCTGATTTTAACATGTTTTAAAGCATGACCGACAGGGGACTTGAAAAATGTCCCCACTTGGCTCCGCGGTCCCCTGTTGGTGAGTGTGGTAATGACACGAAGGTCCCCACTTAAATAGGTTGGCGAATACACACACGCGTCTGTTTAACTCCACATAGCTGTTTGATGTTTATTATGCCTTTTTTCCAGCTAACTGGGTTGCTATGGTTACAGATGATTGATTCCTCACTGCAGTGCAGGATTAGAGTATTGATTTGTGATGTCACTTCCTGTGGAGCGCATCTGTTGTTCTGATAGCTAGAGTTTATCATGAGGTCATGACCTCTGCATGTGAAGTTCACAGTACAGGAGTCACTGCTGGAGTTTGAGTTTACAGTCAGAACAGGAGCGTCCACAGTGTCTGAAACACACATTTACTCCAAAATCAGAATCACACAGCACAGTGATGTAAAAATGATTAAATGCTTGTTTTGTTGAATAAAGACCACAGTCGTGAAGTGACTCAGTACACATTCAAATCCGAAGTCAACAAATGAGTTTTCAAGCCACATTATTTATCTGTATTCTCTATTTAAAGGTCTAAGGAAAGGACTCCAATGGTGTTGTACAGAAAATAACATAATGAATGAAAAAAATGTGCCACAAGCTGGTTTCAACCGGTTTCAACGTGCACATAATATAAATGTAAAAGTTAAACATAAATTACTCATAAATTGTTATTTATGCAGAACACATTAAATCACACAATGAAATGAGACTCACCCATAACAGATACTCTGTATGTAACAATATTTTCCTCTGATTCTCCACTTGTTCTGGCTGTATAGAGTCCACTGTCTGTCTTCTGTGTGTTCTTCAGTGTGAGAGAGAAGCTTTCATCATTGAAATATACTCTGTCCTTGTAGGAGGAGTGAAGTTTTACTTCTTTAGTTCCACATATATATTTAACTATATTCTCTGATTTATCATTTGTCCAAGATAAAAGATCAAACTCTGGTAGTTTCTGAGTCTGTATATCCAGTTGAACAGAATCTCCCGTCTGCACAAACACAGAGATCTCAGCACTGAACCCTGAGGAGAGAGAAACACAGTTCAGCAGATTTTGGATTTGGACCCATTTTACACCACCATCTTACTTCATAATCAACTCACTCCTGTATCTGTCTAATTAAATAAATCATAAAGTTCAATAGTTCAGTAATTTGTTGGGCTGTGCTCACAGTAGATGTGGTATAAAGACACCAGAAAGAAGTCTGATTACAACATGCAGCATTGAGACTTTGGTCAAAGACACAAAGAATCAACCGGACCAATCAACTGTCATATACTGTATGTTTTATTGTTTTGATATCATCACCAGCTGACTTAATTTAGTTAAGCATATCAGAGAGAAGCTCAATCCATGAATAAAAAAAAAAAACTTGTTTCATGATACATGGATCATGAAATATACGCCTAACTAAAATATCTCTAATTAACGTTAAAGGCTTTAAAGCATCAGCAGTATCACTTTATGTTTTAACCCCTGAAACCTGGTGTAAACAGATTTACATTTGTTTTTCAATCCCTAATGTAACAGAAATGATTCTTTAGCACTTAGTAATGATAGAGGCGAATCACTAGTGCTTTAGTTTCTCATCAGGAGCAGATCCTGTTCATCAGATGCAGAACTATAGATCACGATGCTTTATACGACATCAGATAAAGCACTAGAACAAGACATTTCAGTTATTTATACACATTTAATAACTGAGTGTATTACCTGTGGTACAGATGAGGAGAAGAATGAAGGATGCAAGCAGACGATCTACTGCCATTGTAACAAACATCAAGATGGCTGAAGTTTTATTTTAAACAGGAAGTTGAATAAGTGTGAAATGACGCCCATTTAACCTCGTAACTCTCACCAGCTCAGCTTTTGTTATGATCCTCAGCTGGACAATTATTAGTTTAGTTATATCAGTTAGATATAATATTAATGCTTCTAAAACTAAAACAATATGGTAGGCTAGGAGGTGTTTAAGAAAGATACAGGACAATTTAAGAAAGTTACAGCATTTTAATAACCTGCAAATGAGACTAGAGTATGAAAACTGAAAACAAACATTGGTTTGGACCAGTCACAGAAAACATTCCAGCATCCAACAATACACTATTTTAAAAGAGTAACTGTACATTAATGTTGAACCACATTTTTAATACAAGCCACTCAGGTTTACATAGAAATGAGATTGGCATTGACATTTGTAAAGTCAAACTAACATCGGCACAGTTTTTCTGGTTAATGGCCCTGAGCCTCTGCTGGTAGAAGTTAAAACTACACCATCCGACTGCAAAAAGCATTTTCACCACCAATGGCAGCCATTCAAAACATCATTGTAAAAATAGCAGAAATTCAAACCGCGTAAAAAAAAAAAAAAACAATAAACAGTATGATTAGAGTACATGAGATATATTAAAGTGACATGAGGAAAGCAAACACCCGTCCCGTTCATTATATCTGCAGAAACGTACTGAAGTACTGGACTTACAACAGTATAAGATATCCTGTACACTTCCACCAGAGTCATGCAATCTAGGAGTTAAATCAAGACTTTAATGAGTCCAGTCAATCAAAAAGGATTTTTATGTTTTAACAGTCATGAGCAGATGAAGGTGTTTGGTGTCCTACTGTATGGTAGGTGATGGTGGTCCAGGTGTCACCTGTCATCTTCTGCGTCAGAGTCTGAACAAAAATGAATCGAACCACCACAGATCATGTGAAATACAGTTAATATTCATTGGGTCACATTACATTTATTATCTGTGACGTCTGAAGTCATTTGAATCTCACCTCAACATCATCGTAGTCTGTATCGTCACTCTGTTTGACACCTGAGGATCAGAATATGGATGTTTACTGGACAGATTACAGGTTTGTGTGGAAACATGTTTCTTTGCATTTGATTGCTGTCAGATGTTTGATTTCTCTCATCTATCAGACTGACATCATACAAATTTAATATTGACCAGAGTTCTGGATTCACTAGACAGCTCTTACTAATATAAAATAGTTTTTTTGTTGTATCTCCTAGCATTTCATAAAGAGTTAGAAAGTGTATGAAAAAAAAAATGAGTTGAGTATTTATTGCCAGCAGTAAATATTTAATGTAGTCAGAATTGTAGTCAAGATTTGAAAAGAAATATTTAGAAATGAGATCATTTTCTGTATTTAAGGGATTCGCATGGAACATTTTATGCTGTAAAACAGAAGAAAAATATAAACTATAAACATAAAATATGGCCAGACAAAACTAGACAATGATGTATCTTGGCTTAATATCTTATAAATGTTTAGACTGTAATCATGTGTTGTTTCTATATACTGTAAACCTTATTGCTTATGTTCCCCTTTCCATATTGCAACATTCTTTAGCTACTAAAGAATACATTTTTTAGGGTATAAATATCTTTTTTACATATAAATATTTGTGAGATAGATATACCTTTATTATTCTTGCAGCAACAGTAAAGGAGCAAACCAGAAAACACCATCACTATCACTCCCACAACACCAAACAGAATAAGACCAATCAACGGCATAGGAGATGTTTTGATTTGTGGTCTTTCAGTATCTGAAAAGTAAAAGATGAAGAACATAATAATTAGTCTAAGCTGCCTTGATTTGTGAGATCAAATTAAAAGCAGATATTCACCTCTACAGAGTTGTACATGTATTCTGTCTTCCTTCCAGCTGACAGTGTTGCTATGGTTACAGATGATGGATTCCTCACTGCAGTTCAGGGTGAGATTGTAGTTCTCATGTGATATCACTTCCTCTGGAGAGCAGCTGCCATGTTGAAACATGGAGCTGAGTGTGAGGTTATGACTTCTACAGGTAAAACTAAAAATAACACAGGAATCACTGGACCAGTGTGAGTTTACAGTCAGAACAGGAGCCTCCACAGTGTCTGAAACACACATTTATGCCAAGATCAGAATCACACTCACAATTTAACAGCCCATTGATTTAAAAAAAGAAAAGTTTAAACATTGATTCATGCTGTATGAATATCACAGCAGAGATGCAGTATACATTCAAATCTAAAAACAACATAAAGAATAAACACGACCCAACAATATTTGTTTCACCACATTGATCTGTATTTTTTATTTAAAATGTTAGAGTAAAAATAAATTTGCACGCTGTATAAAAGTGCGAAATTAAACATTACTCTTCTGAATTGTCTTTTATACAGGAACACAATGAAATGAGACTCACCTATAACAGATACTCTGTAAGTAATCTCTATATTCGATTCTCCAGTTGTTCTGGCTGTATAGAGTCCACTGTCTGTCTTCTGCATGTTCTTCAGTGTGAGAGAGAAGCTTTCATCATTGAAATCCACTCTGTCCTTGTAGGAAGGGTGAAGTCTGACTGTTTTAGATTCAATCATATATCTAACTATCGTTTCTGATTTATCATTTATCCAGGATAAAAGATCAAACTCTGGTAGTTTCTGAGTCTGTATTTCCAGTTGAACAGAATCTCGCGTCTGCACAAACACAGAGATCTCAGCACTGAACCCTGAGGAGAGAGAAACACACTGATTTGTTAAGCATCTCATGCTCTGTGTTCCAGTACCAGAGTTGATCAAAACCACTGTCTCCAATCTCCATTCTGGAGTTGCAGTCTTGCAGATATATTAGTCCTTACATTATGCACTGCTCTCAGGCGGCAAAGGTTAGATGTGTTTGATGAACATTGAAAACACACAAATAACAAAACACACTATGAGCGAGTCACGACGACAGTGAAGGACAGCCCTGGATTTTCTGGTGTGTTTCTGATTTATTATGGGACAGCAGTCGTCCGTGAGGGGATGCTGCCTTTACTTTTGTATATGTTTATTTAATTATTAAAAATCTTTGATCATTCAACGGTTTCCACTTCCTTCTTCCCACAACTGTGTTACAACATACTTCATGAAATATAATCAAAATATCTCAAATAAATACAAATCTGATGTGTTTTTTTCAACCCCTAATGGAAATGATTCTTATAGCACTCTAGTTTTAGTAAAGTTAGAGACGAGTCACTCTTGCTCTCTAGTGCTTTAGTTTCTCATCAGGAGCAGATCCTGTTCACCAGATGCAGAACTATAGATCATGATGCTTTATACAAGCGACATTATAGATAGCACTAGAACAAGACATTTCAGTTATTTAAACACATTTAATAATTGAGTGTATTACCTGTGTTACAGACGAGGAGAAGAATGAAGGATCTAAGTCGATCTACTGCCATTGTAGCAAACATCAAGACGGCTGACGTTGTATTTAAAACAGGAAGTTGAATATGAGTGAAATGACGCCCATTTAACCTCATAACTCTCACCACAAACAGCTCAGTTTAGCATTTGTTAAAAAACACTGATCGTTTCATTTAAAAACACTTCAAAACGTTTCACACTGATCTCTGAGAAACTGCTTTTCCATATTGATGAAACTTGAACCAGCCACAGAAAACAGACTATCCAGGAGAAACAGACTATTCCCACACAACGAACGCAACCATGGTACGATGCATCATTGGAGAAACTAATCATAACCTTTTCTCACAAAGTGGTTGTTCAAACATGTTGGTTTATGATGCTGTACGTGGTGGGCATGTACCAACAAGATGGCTAAGTATATGGCCTGCTGTCTAAGGCTTACCGTTTTTTTCGATTGCTAAACGACAGTGAGCACAACTGGAGATAAATGTGCAAAACTCTAACTAGACTGACAGACAAGAACGGTTTGACAGAAAAATATCAAAATTGAAAATACTGTGAAACAAAGACACCTACATCTTGGATGCCCTTGAGGTAAGCTAAAACATAGCAAAAATTAATTTCAAAGTCAACTATCCCTTTAACCTGTATGTTCACCATGGTCCATTTATGCATAATAAAAAGAATACAATAGTCTACAAAATCACATCAATGTTGTAATGATAGTGGTTGGTTTTATGGAGTAGTGGCAACCCTGTCTAGTATACGGAAGAAACTGTTAGCATGGTGCATGTGGTGTAACTAAGTACTAATAAATCTAAACGTATACTCATCTATGGCTCAGGAGTCTGTGATTGATCATCCCAACTAAAACAAAGGAGAAGAGATAAGTGAACATTTAAACCTTCGAATAGGCCAACCTGGTCTCACAGAATTCTGTGAAATGAACACGTCCCCTTAACTCAAAATCTGTGTCAGTTTCACGGAATCACGGAAAATCCTGTGATGGACCCGCGGAAGTGATGCCTTATGTATGCATTTCTTTCTTTCTTTATTTCACAATAATTCAGTACATTTTACTTCAACAAAAGCAGTTGTTGGGGTATGAATAGTATAGACAGAAGCAGTATAAATTGTGCAGTACATCACACATTACAATTGCAACTACTACTATAGCACGCCATAGTTCAATGTAACTTTCCCAACAACTGCTCAGGAAAACAGATATATGCTATTGTGAAAATGGATCCCCAAGAAGCAATAGCTTATAAATAGGGGTCCATAACAGTAAATATATATATATATATAAATAACAGTAAATATAAATAGGGGTCCATATGTAAGTCAATGACAGGCGGCGTCTGTGGTCCACACACGGATTTCCTGTTCCAGCACCTGGAATTCTGAATTCTGAACTTCCCTTCTTCCCCTCGGGGGAATCCCCGGAGCCATTTTGAAGTGTGTTCCACTACCTGAAGTGGACGAGGGAAGTTTATATGGACAGACCCTCGATTTTGACAGAGGGAGCGAGTCAACTTACACTTCAGGCAGCTCCATATACCCTCCAGTCACCATACTCATGAGGGTATCTGTACACTCTTAAAAGAAAAGGTTCTATATAGAACCTTAAAAGGTTCTATCAGCGCAACGTATTTGGAACCCCTAAAAGGTTCGTATTTGGAACCCCTAAAAAACCCTTTTTAAGGGTTCAATAGTAAGGGGTTTTGTAACTAGGCAAAAAGTTCTATATGGAACCTTTTGGGTTCATTCATTATCATTAGTTTTGTCCTTTCCGGATTAAATATTTCATATTATTGACAAACATCACATATTTATGAATGCATGTGAATGATCACAAAATTCAAGATATGGGGGTTAGAAAATGTATATATTTATATCATTTTGTTAATCAATATCACACAAATAGTACCATTTCGGTTTTTCTCCTCCCAGCATGATTGAAATGTGATATTAAGTTAGGCTACTACAACAGTTTAATAAACATTAATTTAATTACAACTACAAAATGTTGCAGGAACATTTTTATACTCTTTAAATAAAGTTCATTTGACTAATTTAAGTTTGTCCTCCTCAAACCAGTGAATTATTTTGAGCGCAAGGGTTTCCTGTGAGGATGATCAAGCAGACACAGAGAATGTGTACCATAACATTTTCAAGTTTAATAAGGAAAGAAGCTCATTATTACAAAATCACCCTGCAGCTCCTTCTTTGGTTGGTCAGCAGAACATGTCTGCATCTTTTGATAATGACCTGCTAACCTTACATATTTACATTATGCTGTATGACATGCAAAACATTTGCTCTTCTTGATGTTCTTGTTGTTCTTGAGTTTTTGATTGTGATCACGTCACCTTAATCACAGCAGAACATGATGACGTTATTGAGAGCGGTGTCGTCTCCTCCTCCCTGTGGCTCTTCTATCCGGGTCTTGATGCCACAGATTCCTCTTCCATGACACGTTGGGCTCCAGTCGCCCCAGTTGCCCCAGTTTGTGCCGTCACCCTCCAGCACAGCACCTCCACTGCAGGTGAACCTGGAAAAAATTCAGATGTGACAATATTATGATAAAATATGTAATTGCGCAGTCGGATTGACACAGCAATCACAATCTTGAACAGCAGCACGACTGCGAGTGAGATTGATGGGGGGAAAACTGAGTCCTTAAATAGCCAAATAAAACCAGGATGGGTAAGTTGTTATAACTTATAGCACCACACACTTACTTGATGTTGTTTGCAGCCGTATCATCTCCGTTTCCTTGGGAAGATTCAACTCTCAGCTGGAAAGCGGTCAAGAATCCAGAATAACACCACTTGACATCTGTCCAATCCCCCCAGCTGAAGAAAACACACACAGACGTTGCCTGATCAAATCAATCATTATTTTAAAGAAAATCCTCAATTTACTTAAATATCTTAAACACTTAATGCAAGGATTTGAGTCCATTACCTTCCTACGTTGGACTCAATTGAGTTGTGGTCACGTGAGCCTGGCCGATCGACACAATAAAGACGAATCCCATTGAGCGCTGTATCATCACCATCAAGTGGTCTTTCCACCTTTAAAAAAACAACATTGAGACAATCTTCCACTTGAAAGAGTAAACTCTAACCCAACACTTAGTAACATTTATTATCTTCATGCTCTTTAATATTACACAGACACACATCCAGGTGCAGTTCCCTGGAGAATTAAATGAAAACAGCAACTCCACCTTTTTGATCCTTTAAAGCGCACATCCCCCCCATATTAGCAAAATAGAGTCAACTTACCCTCAGACTAAACCCTGCGGCGTACCTTCCACTTGGACACATGCTCTTATATCCCCACGATCCCCAATTCATCCCATTCGACACCGTCAGCTCAGATCTGTAAGATCGGTCGACGCTTCGCTGAGAACGACGTACAGCAGGCAGACTGCTCGCATGCCAAATAATGGCTAGCAGTGAAAACATCGTGGAAAAGAAGTGATGCATTGCTACAGCACTGGCCTGATTGATAAATACAGACTTATGCAGGTAGACTATCTGCAGCCTGTAACCAAAACCAGGAGACTTGGTTGTATCTTCAGCCGGATCCTTTACTGAGAAAAAGAGCTGTCGGGAAATGCAGTCATCAAGTCTGACTAAAGGAACTTTACATGGTATCTTATATAGGCATTCAGTGGGCAGTCC